GTTGTAACGTTTGTTATAAAAAATAATAAAAAAATATTTTAATGTTTAATTTGATTAAACTTTTGAAAGATGCAAATTTTTTTTAGTTATTTTATGTATTCTGATAATATATGATGAGTAAAATATAAAAATGTAAATTTTAATTTCATAAAAAAAATCATAATTACATTGTAGATTTTTATGCAAGTAAAATATTTAAATATTTAATTAATATATAAAATGTCATGTTATTTAAAATTTTCAAATATATAAGATACATGTACATGTTATTTTATTATGTAAATATTTTTATAACTTGCATTAATTTCTTTATTGATTCTAATAATTTAAATATTTAAGTTAAAAAAGATAATTATATATATAATATATTATAATAATAAAATTGAATTAGAATTCTTTTATTTTATGAAGTTCAAAATTCATTTTTGCAATTTTTAATAATATTAATTTTTAATATTTTACCATCAAAATTTTTATTTAGAAAATGATTAAATTTGTTTATAATATTGTATATATTTAATTATAAAAAAAACTAATATAAGATTAGAAAAGAAAAATATATATATTTATATAAAAACATGAATTTATAAAAATTCTGAATCTAATTATATATTATTTTATAATATCAATTTTATAACACAAATAAATAAAATTAATGCTGTCTTAATTAGTAGACGCATAGTAGACGCGAAATAGTAGACGCATTTTTCCTTTCATAATAAACATAGAGTCACTAGTTTTTTGAGCATCAGTGTTGGGAACAGTCAAATGTCGCTATTCTTTCTATCTCATTCAAGTTTATTGTTTCTTGTTTTTACAGAAGAACGAGATCTTAATTCTAAAAACACTTACCTTTTTTAGCATTAGTAAACGAACAATTCTCGATGTAAATATATTATTAGAACACTCTAGTAAATAATACATTCTAATACATCACAAAATATTTATCCCAAAAACAACTTCAGCATAAATGCATGAAAAAAATAATATAAGTTCGAGGAAATTTTCCAATAAGATTTTAAAGATCGAGGTTCTAATGTTAAAATTTCGAGATTATTTAATTCTATCAATCGAAGAAAATTAATTTTCTGCTAATTGATTAGCAAAAATCAATTCTTTAAGAAATCTAATTGTTCTTTTTTATCATATCGAAAATAATTCATTCAAATTGTAAACCACTTTTTCACATCTTATAAAATATGGGACAGCTAAGAAACATTTGATCGTCGGTAAATCCGAAGCGAGAAACGAAAGCGTTTCGCCATCGCGTGGTATTGGTGAATATATTTCAATGTATCGCTTTCACCGTAAAATCACTCGTTCAGAGACGTACGTATCGACCGAGATTTTCACAACGGTCACGCGGCGCACTTTCACGTAGCGCTTGGCCGTCTACTTCTCTGCTCTCTTTGATATGCGTCATTTCTCTTTCACAAAAACGCCACGTATCGCTGTTTCGAAGGCGTACGTTTCAACTTGGGGGCCGATAATGTCAGGCATGATTAGTTTCTTACACGGAATACCCGTTAGGAAAGTGTGCCAAGACGTCCATGAGTTTCACGACTCGCGTGGCTTATAAAATTATGATAAATTTCATAGGAAGAAGTACATTTATGACGAACCGAGAAAGCTTTCTTTACAAGTTCACGCGTCATCTATACACCTAAGAAATGTATCGTGTTTCATTAAGGCCGGGTATTTTTACTTCGCTCGAATTTCATGTCGAAATTAATTTTTGCTGTCAAAATGTTTTGTTTTAAAATTTTTGTTTGGAAATTTTTGTAGCAAATTTGAATATATTAATATAAACGAGCAAGTCATTAGACAACCAATTAATTTTTTAAAAATTAGAATAAATAATATGAAATAATTAAATTATTAAATTTTTGAGATAAAACTTTTTTTTAAAATATGGAAAAATGTCTTTTTTGTAAAATAGTTTTAATTTATCCAGAACTAATCAGAATTTACTAAAATAAAAATTATATATTTATATTATACAAAATTAGAAATAAATAAGTAAAATAATAATTTATTATCGGAAGTTCATAATGTATGGTAAATATATCAAATATTTATTTTATATTTTGATTAATATTTAATTTTTTTAGCAATTTTTTTAGAAAAAAATGAAGAGAAAGAAAAAGATTATTAATTATTTCTTTATCAATTTTAATGTGAAATAAAATTAAAAACTACTTTCAGATTTAAGAGTGTGAAATTCTTTTTAAAATTGAAAGATAAATCTTCGAATTTAAGAGCATTTAAAAAATTTGAAATCGTCATTAAATTTTTCATTAAACGGACCATTTATTCTAAAATTCTTAAAATTTTCCCCTGATATCGCAAAAGATGATTATACCACGTAATAAGACGAACAATCATTACATGTTACAAACGCGAGATTTCCATCTGACAATTGTCGATCCCAGTATCGTATGATATATTGCATTGACTTTCATCGATATTGATTATCAATCGAAACTAATGAATAAGACATAAATTTGTTTGATATACTCAATATCAAACAATTTATTGCATCGAATACTCGCATGCAAAGTGAAGTTTATTGAAGCACAACAAAGTTTGCCTTGGCTCGCAAAAGAAATTAAAAGATCGTGGTTTGTTTCGTATTGATTTCTTATGAATTACAAATTGCTTGGATACATTTACAGGAATCATGTTGATCAAAGTATCGAAGAATTCAACGAATAAGCATTATTATTTTTACTTTTTCTGAGCATCAAATCAATAATCACTATTTATTATTCACTATTATTCATCGATAAAAGCGTATCTCGGAATTTATTTGCATGATTATTTTGTATGACTAATTAAACATTGTAATTGTATTCATGTAATTAAATTTTTAACATAGTTTTTAACATAGTTTCGTAATTTTCTTAAAAACAATCACATTATAATATCAAATTTCTTTTTGTCCGATTTTTAAAAAATTTAGAAGTTTTTTAAAATTTACAATATTTATATATGCAATATTTTTCGTATAAAATTTCTTAAAATTATTCATTTGATTTGTTTATTTATAGCTCTTTTAATAAAACCTCTCTAAAAGTAGTATTCTTACTATCCGGATATTCATTACAACCTGAATTCCGGTTCGAGAATATAGCTTTTTAATGAATACTCGCTACTCCCTAGATTAAAAAACAGAAGGAATATTCCTATTTTTTCCTCTATCATAAATGGAAAATGAATACATTAAAAATAGAAACATTTTTCTATAATAAACAGAACTAAATACTTTTCTCTAACTATTGATATACATCCGTGTATAAGTTTCAAATATATTTCACAAAAAAGTGAAAAATATACATAGAATTCCCAGAAAATATAATAAACTATATAGCTGCGCTGTTGCTTGGTAATGTGTTAATTTCGTCGCCGTGTTTCTTGGCGTGGAATCTCATGATCGTGCTTTCTACTATTGGCGAACAAGCGTAGCGTTCGCGAGAAGAAGACGATAAGAAGAGAAGGAAAGGAGAGGGACCGAACGTCGCGTTACTTAGCTCTAGATGAGTCGCGAGGAGAATCGTTCTAGAATAGATGGGTCGTATGCGAGGGTTCAACTACGAGTTGAGGTAGCGTGCCGCAGGCGATTGATGACTTGTGACCTACTTTTAAAGGCTTGTGACCTAGATGCGAGGGTGCCATAGTCTAATCTAAGATATCAGACTTCCCTTCTCTCCTTCCTTTTTTACCAACTGACTATTTCCCCTCGTTTTCTATTCCTTTACTCTTTCCAGTCTCGTCGCTGTCCCATCTAAGTAAGTTCACGGATGAGGATTCTTCGGAGAGTTGAGATATAACTCGTGTTCTCGCAGAATCCATGTTTTATCCTTCTTTCTCGTGTTTTTTTTTCCATGTTATTCTTGAAGGAGCCGCCTTTCAGAGCTCTGAGCTTCTAACAGAATTTAAATGTGATAAATCATTTTAAATTACTTTCGATTGTTTTCTTCCGTTGTTTAATGATTATTTATACATAATTTCATAATTTTTATAATCTTTTTTTTTACGATTTTTTCTTTTAGTTTTTCACAATGTGAGAATTTTTATATGAAAATTATATAATATGTATGTTATTTTTTATGTATGTTTATTTATTATGTATGTTCTTTTTATCTATATGTAAATTATATGTAAAGATATCATAACTTAAAAATCGAAATTTGAGAAATATTGCATGAAATAATAAATGCATTTGAAATCAAAATATGTACATTTATACATATATAATTTAATACACTATTTATTTATTAAAAAGCATAAGAATATTGAATATAATATATATTCATAATTTTCTAAGTAATAACGACCATTAATAATTAATACAACAAGAAAAAGATCCTATCTTATCTTTTTTCATAGACGATACATTTAAAATATCATCATATAAATCACTGAATGTAATTGAATTATTTTCCAATTATTTCAAGCTATACGAATTTAAGATGTAAAAATTTGAAAAATCATTAACTTTTATTTTTCTTCAACTTCTTTTAATTTACTTTTATAAAATATAATGACAATATATTACTAGAAATACTCGAATTATCTATCATATCTATCATATATCATAATAAAATGCATGTCAGTCACGAACAATGAAATCGACCGGATGAAATTTGTCGTTACTAGTCGATGCCTTCGAAAAGCTTCCAGCGACTAACGCTAACCACGACGCAACTTACACCTTCCTTACTCAGCTTTCTCCGATACCTTGCTAAATTGTGACAGACTCGTCCACCGGAAGGAACAATGTTATGTGTATATAAGCGGTATTCGCGCATGGTAAAGTTGAACAGTGTGGAGAGGTACATTGTAAAGAAGGTGGTAGCAGGAATAGATGGTGGGGATATATCTGTCGGTGGTGAGCGTGGTACAGGTGGTGGGAGTAGTGACGAGAATAGTGGGGGGAGCTCCACGTCGCAGACCAATTCGAAAGACGGTGTAGGCGCGTTCGGCAGAGCGAGCTTCAGTGTCGTTTCAGCCGCGGTTCTGTACGGTTGTTTGACTTTTGATACTGTATTTCAACTACATAACCGTCGTCTCTGTAATTACCGGTTATTTTCGTCGTCTGGAACACAATCGTTCATATGCTACGCGTATACACAAAAAGTCATCATTTACATTAGCTAAAATTGGCCGAATCAGTGTCCAAGTTTTTTGTTTGTTTGTGAAATCGATATGAAGAAGTTCACCATGACAATGGGCTAAACCGGTGATATTCAGTTCGAGCGTTGAGAACGTTATCCGGATTTGGGTCAATGGAATAACGTGTTAATGTGACGTATTTCATATCGATTGGAATATTTCAATAGTGAGGTGAAGAATTTTGCCGATAATCATAATTGAGAATATAACGGTGTTGGTAACATAAGTGATCGCGGGTTTTTGTAAGATGAGCCCAGCCTCCCAAGGTGGCGTGGAGGTGGAGCGATACATCGGTAGTTGTTTGATATCGTCAACCATTAGACCAGGACCGCATAAACCGATCGTCGGTAGGAAACAGGAACCTGTGATTCGCGGGAAAACGCGAGGCTGTTACGGAAATCAAAATTTTCCGAATGGAACCGAACAATGCCAGGTGCAATATGGGCCTGGTGGTTGGACGGGCGCTCCTTTGATATCGATGACATCCAGTCCACGCAGATGTAATCAAAGATCATCACCGTCGCTTGGGCAACAGCAGCAACAGCCATCATCGTCGCAGCAACTACAACAACCTCAGCAACAGCAACAGCAGGCTTGCGAGCAGCAAGTATCAGCTCATCTACACAAGAATCCACTTTCTAGATTAGCCATTCACACGCAGGGAGCGCCGTTGATTCTAGCCAATCGGTTTCACAATCGCGGCAAGATACATAACAACGGGAACGCTAATGGCATTACTAATACGATTTGTAATAATACAGGCGCGGTTAATAGTTACGTTCACAATAATGTGAATACCCTGACATCGAACTGTACGATGAGCAATACGGTCAGGTGTCCACCATCGCGGCCTCAAAGGCCAATAGAACTTGCGAAGAAGCAACAAACGAATCAGAAATCGTCGGACTGCACGACGACCAAAGACACAACGGGAACAGGAAACATTGCGAATATCGATTCGTTGAGTATCGCGAGCGATGAAAGTTCGGGATCGAATAATTCTGAGAACAGTTTGCCACGTATCATTAAACCTCGAAAGCGCAGGAAGAAAGACAGAAAACCGCCAAACAATGCGGTCACTTCTGCGGAAGTAACAAAACACGAGGAGCAGCAACAACAGTCGAATTCGATTACCGAACAATCGAACGCAACTTCTTTGAAATCATACGTACCAACTTGTTACGAGCAACGTTACGATGTCGCACCGCCTCACCTTAGAAATCACAGAAGGCCACCCATAGCGAGGGAAAGCAGCGTATACGGTTGTAGAGTGCAAACAACTGGCATGTCAGTGCAAGAGATAGACGCGAGGCAAAGGTATCCACATCGGCACGTGGAAGTGAAAGTGTTGGACGACAACAGAAACGTCGTGCCTGCGCAAATGCGTACCGTTCCGCCAAAGGGTTATAGACATAACGGTCATCATCATCACCATAACCACGCCGGTAGTAACAATGTTCCGCGCTATCTGCATGAATATAACGATCTAACGGCGACGACGACGACAACGACGACAACGACGACGACGGCAACGACGACAACGGGTTGTGAAGAGGGCATCAACGAGGAATTAGGGCCGTGTCAGTGCCGGTATTGTGATCCTTCGGCTCTCATATGGGACGTGGATCAGAACTGTTACTCGCCCTTCTTGACCCCGTCACCGTCGACCGAGTTCTGTCCCGGCCACTTTTCTCAGATGCCGCTATTCTTGTCTCGGCCAAGTCTCAGTTGTAAGGAGCAAACTATCGAGAGGCTTTTCAACGGTGATAATTCTCGAACCCATCAAGAAAAGGACAGCACCGGTAGCACCGGTGTTGTGTTAAGGCGCAGCTGGAGCGACCCGACCAGTTATTTCAGCGAAGAAATCAGCACGCCTAGCAAAGATGTTGGCGTGATCGGTGATAGGGGACAGGCAGAGAGTGGGAAACGTCGAACGCTATGGCGCGGTGAATCTATCGGTATACCTGTGAATAACATTGGACTATCCGGTATGGATGTGAATGGTACCGTACAATCGCCTAAAGAGCTTGAAGTTTCTACAGAAATCATCACATCGCCGAACGGTCACAGAGATTTGGAAATCAAATTTTACTCGCCTTCGCCGAATGCACCGATGGCCGAAGAAGAGAAAGGCATGTTCGAGAAAGAAGTGGACGAGGACGAAGAAGATTTCAGCGATATTTGGAGCTATCACGAGTCAAAGCTGCAACAGGATTTCCGCACGTTACTGCAAGCGGAAGAATGAACACGGAACGGAGATTCTCTTTCGATGTGTCTGCTGGTCCGACTTGTATGGTGAAAAGAGAGAACATTCGCGTCTGTCCGTGCTTGAATACAATTCTTCGACAGATTTGTGTGTGCGTTACGCGAGGGGAAGAAAAGCAGTGGCGTGATGAATACACGTCGACATGAGAGAGTGAGCGAGTGAGAAGGACGGAGAGAGAGAGAGAGGGAAAATTGTAAGTGCGAGCGAAAGAAAGGTGGCTCTGGAAATTCAATTAGTTTGTCGATAGAGGGAACAAAGTTGAAACGGACTTGCGTAGACGCGTGCGCGACCGCGTGAGACAGGAATTGGTCGCGTTTAACGATCCGTGTTCCAAAAATCATCGATTCTTTCGCTTCAACGTATCGATGAGGTGTGTAACGTGCGTGTGATTAAATACGACGACATACACTCCCCTTCTTCCATGCCTCTTTCTTCTTCTCCCTTCTCCTTGTCCCTCACAACTTGTCTTCACGATGACGCCCTCGTTGCTAGCACACCTCGGTGATTAACAAGTGTAACTGACGGTAACGAGCAAAACTACGTGTCGAACGATTCTTCTTCCTAACGGTGTACGTTGTATACACGTAGTATACGTGACGTGCGTGCACTCGTGAAGCACGCACGAGAGTAGGTTTAAAGGATTGTACCTTGACGTCGGGAATACACGCGGTCTGCTTATCGATGACAACATACTACTAATAAACGGTGGTTGGCTCGCGTCGTGAAACGAATCGACTTGAACGATAAACTCGGTGTTTGACTATCAACCTAAAGTTCTATACGAGAGAAAGATTTCTCGAAAAATATAGCACGGGCCGATATGTATAAAGATACATTACTAATTAAAGTAATCGTTTTCGGATATCGACATATAATAATTAATTTAAATTGTAGAGTACAAAACATGAAAATATCATTCAAGTCAATTTATTAACATTCTTTTTCTCTCAATTTCTTGAATTATTAATTGATATTTACATTTTCCTTGCTTGTAATTTTTTTTTTATTTTGTTGAATTTTAGAAAAAAATTGTACAAGTCTAACATCTTTCGATACCGTTACTCGATTTAATTTACGATCACGCTATATCTTGGCTCGTGCTATACACGACTGCTTTAGTTTATACACGACTTTTCTATGCACCTTTAATCATTTCCCTTTTCTTTTCATATCTTTCTTTTTCTCTTTCTCCGACTGTTTATCCGATTTTACTGTTTTATTTTCGGTATCGTTCTAACTTTTTCAACGTCACCGTTTACAATGAGATAACGCTTCTCTTCGCCGCCAACCATCGTGAACGGACAAATAGAGGAGATGTGACTGTTTAAATCGTAACGTAGTAATCAAACGACGCAACGATGAATCATACGCCGATCAAAGGAACTCGTATTCTATATTTTTTTACCACAATCACGCGATGCCCGTCTGTATTTGGTTAACTTTACTATATCCTTTTTTTTTAAATCTTTTCATCTTTATTTGAAATTTGTGTTCAACATTATTCAAAAAATTATATTACGAATATTGCAATATTTAAAAATATATTGAAATTTCCGTACTTTGATGCTATTTTCAAGAAAATCTAGAATATTTCTTTTAGTGATTAACAAAATCTGATTAATTATCTTTTATTCGCATAACGACATATAAATTCATAGACGAGAATAAGTTAACTGATTTGAGATTATTTCAAAGCTTGTGCACAATTTATATTTATATAGTTCTAAGCATAAAGTTTTGAGTAAATCATTTCGAATGATCAGATTGCAATATTGATTAAATTTTAGTTGTGTTGACAAATATATGTATCTTTCAATTATACAATATATATTTTATTTCTTTATGATAACACAATTTTCAATAATTTTTGTTATTTTAACAATATTTAATTAAAATTTTGTGATCTTTCTCTCAAAAGTTTTTATATGATCATGTTAATTGGAAATACTTGCGTGTTTCTGAGCTTGAGTTTGTATTTTATTCATAATAAACAGAGAGCAACTCTTTATTTCTTTGCAATACGTTAAAAACTGAAACTGAAAAAATCTGCTTGATCGATATTAGAAAAGAGATAGATCTTTTCCTTTTAGAATCAAAACAATAAAATATGAAAAATTATTTTTAATGCCAATTACAATTTTTATTAAATCAAAATAGAATACAGATTCTGTGAAAGTTTACGTTAAAATTTAATTTTAATCGTTTCGTAATTATTCATCGTTTATTATTTATCAAATGACTTTATTTCTAGCTAGTATTCTTTATAAATTGTTTTTCACGCAGAGATCGATATTATCGAAACGATCACGTAATCAAAAATATGGAACGTGATCTAATTATCAACGGTGATTCAGACATGTAACCTTGAGACTTTTATTTATTACGACAAAAGGATATCGCGCGAATTTTCATGAATTATAAAACGTAAAACAGTAGAGCTAATCAATTAATCATACTTGAGCATTGTATCGATCGAATCGATTATATGGGCATCGCGTGATGATGTCGCGATAAACCGAGCTACGCTTCTCGGTTTACAGCCGAACGATTTCTTGACTTAGGACGAGGCCATTACGGATTCCGCGAACTTTCATCGTTTCGTACATGTGCAGAAACGTGAAGAAAAATGTATGACACGTATACATATTTAACAGACACATACACACAGAGGCAAACATGTCCTACCACCCATCATCTTTTTTTTTTTTTTTTTTTTTTTTTTTTCATTTATATAAGCCTAGATGATAAGGCGATTCACTTAGATTATCACCATTGTCTATATGTGTATAAGAGAAATCGCGTATTAAATCGGTCCGCCTTTTATTTACTACTTAGACCGTTAGGAAATATTAAGACGATGCGGCAATTTCGAAGGCAACGAAAGAGCGAGCCGCGAGAATTACTGACGACTAATTAGGCTTAACGCGCGTGCGTGCTTCGTTTCGAAAAGGTTTAACCAACGAGATGCAAAGTCCTACACGAAGAATCATATTGGCAATATTTCTCTCTTGCTGGCTCTCATCAATACGTAGCAAGTTTTATTGCTAAGTAGCAACAGATAAATATTGATGTTGACACTTGTTAAAGCAGCACTAACCGCGTATCAAATACGAAACAAAAGATAATTGTTGCTGCTTTAATAACATCGTCGTTGATATTTTTCTTCGAGTATAATGTCGTTCGGATGATATCACGTTCGCTCTTGTGTAACCAAAAGCGTGTGTTACCCTATCGTATAGCGTATTTACTAATAAATTTGTGTCGACGTTTCTCTCTTAATTTTTTTTTTTTTTCTCCATTAAAAATATATCATATTTTTCCTTCTTTCTTTCTTTCTTCTTTTTTATATATATATATATCGAGATAGTGCATTATTCGTTGGCAGCGTTTGTCGAAAAACGATCAGATTGCACTTGTAATCCGTCTTTCCGGAAGAAAGGTTTTCACTTGAGAATGCATCGTCATCGCCGTCGCTACGGATACACGTTTATGGAACGAGTTTTCGTAGCTCGATACAGTTCAAAACGATAATACTATTCGCACCCGAAGCTTGTCCATTTATAGTTTTCACGAACGAGAAAATGTTTAATTTATTCGTTATTGAGTTGTTTATTTTTTCTCGTTCTTTTTTTTTTTTTTTTTTTTTTAAAGGAAATCGAGCGAGCAATGGTATGCAAACTTCGTGTTTTGTATTATTAAATGTTTGTAGAATGCAACTGAAATGAAAGTTGGTGAAAATGATTTCAACGTATAGGGATGAAAGAATCAATGGTATGCTTTTTAATCAAACGATCCAGCTCTTTACTAAGAAACGAAGAGATGAAAAATTATATTCGATATTTAGTTCCTTTTGTAAAAATTCGATTGCAATTGAATCAGAATTCAACGAAAAATAAATTTGACTTTAGTTTATATCGATCATATTGAATTTCGATGAATGCTTTTTCTCGGTTTTATTTTGCTTTTTGTGTTTGTTGATTGTGATCATTTATCAATTGTGCTTTTTGCTATCTGATCTTTAAAAAAAATGAGAGAGAAAGAGAGAGAGAGAAAGAGATTTGAAAATTGTCGAAAATGTTTTGAAAGAGATCTCACGTTATTTTATGAATAATATTTCGATATTTTTTTTTACTATCTGTTTTCATGAATGATTATTTTTTCTTTTATTCGATTCTTTTTTTTTTTTTATTTATTTTTTTCACTTTTCATCGTTTTTATTTCTGTTTTTGATACTTCTCCTTCTCTCTCTCTCTCTATGGATGTTTTTATTTTAAACGTTGTTGTTTGACGATACAAGGTATTGTGATAACGAAACGATGATACACTCAATTTTGCTTCGTCGTCCAGACTGATCAACGCCGATCAACCAATGTCGCTATAGTGCTTTACTGCACTAACTCAAATTGTTTGAGAAATTCAATAAAAAATGTCTTTAATTTAATTTTACATATCTCAGAATTTTATTGGTACCCATTGTTTTAATACTCCTTCAAATATTACCATAAAAACACAACACAGATAATAAACAGTAATAAATCTATTTCATAAAATGATTTATGATATTATGTATATTTCTATTATAATTTAATACTTTTTTCATTGCTTATAAATATAATATCTTTGATATTTCAAATTTTTGTGAAAATATTAATCATTTATTTATGTATTTTCTCATTTTATTAAGAACAAGTTTATTAAGCATTTTATATATTAAAGTAAAACAGGATATATGTGTGTAAATATTCATTGAAAATCTCGTTTAAACGAAAAATTGAGATAAATTTTTTGTATTTGTTTTCCCCGCAGTTCGAAGTAACGATCTGATTAATAATTTCCGGAACTCTTGCTTTCTTGGTAATTATCGAGTTCAAGTTTTTATTTTTCGTTAGATCGTGATTAATGATATTAATAATTATTTTCATTTATTCAAATGCACATCTCTTTGATTGCAATAAAAGTAAATTTATTATCCCTGTCTAGGTTAGATTATGCATTAGATACTGTCGACCTCTTTCTTATCTTTCAATTGAGTAATGGCGCCTACGTAGATTGCGTGGGTTGTAAACTGTTATAATTCTACGTTGTAATATATCTACTTCATCTGCATACTTTTCATCGTCTCTTTTACTATTTCTTGAAATTTTTCAAACTTTTTTCGAGAACGTGTGATTTATCCTTTAAAAATAATATTCGTTTGATCTGTGCACATATCGTTGTTTTACAAAAATTACTAAATATGGACAATTAAAAAAGAAAAATAATTTTTCAAGAAATCAATTTCATAATATTTACGATTAGAAAATTATTAATTATTCAATGATTTTACATTAAAAAGAAATATAATATTGTTTATCGAATATAAAAACAATTTTATTTTGAATTATAATAAATATTTTGCTGCCTGATAAGAAATAATATAATTTATTTTCTAGTAATTTAATAATTAATTTTTAAAATCAATTTTTGTACATATTATATATACATATTATAAAATTGCTGATTTTTAAATTGTCATTCTTTTATTAAATCGATTATAGATAAAAATTAAAATCTTTTTTCTGTTTATTTTATTATCATTGCTTGATGAAGTTTTTGTATAATTTTTAATTATTATTACATTTATACATAATATATTATTATTACGTTGTATTTTAATGTTTATTTTATCTTTTGTTAAAAAAATATGATAACACATAAATACATGAGGAAAAATAAGAAAAACAAAGTTAACACTTGTGCTGCACGATTCATTACCTCATAAGTGTCTCCCATTTTTCTTTCAAATTATCTCCTTATCACTTTATCTTCAATTGACATCACACATTACGATATTTGTTACTTAGAAATATCTTTTTTTCGTTTTGTTATAATTATACATCATTTTCTACACAATTACTTCTTGTATATTTGTTTTTTTTTTTTTTTACGAATTTTATCTTTAGAAAAAAATAATTCTTTGAAATATAGGTCAAAGCTAATCAGCTGCCGAACAAATTCAAATCGAGAGAACAGAGTGTCCTTTTGACTTAGAATTAACGTTTGTAATGAGTGATAGTTAATTAACTGATCAACGTATTGTTTGACAGCATAACCTTTCAATTAGCTAATTACTCTGTTTGAGAATTTACGACGATGCGTCTAACAAGAGAACATTGAAGCAAACAATACAATACTAATCTTGAACAGTCTGTGATAAAAATTCTTTTTGTCAGAAACCATGAAAATTTAAAGTTACAACAAAAATTTCTTTTCTTAATTCGTTAAAATTAATTATTCATTTCATATTCAATTAATATTCATTTTGTCTTATTTTTCATTGAAAAAAGAAAATAAAATAGATAAAAGCAAAAAAATTGTAATAATTATTATATAATTATAATTATAATTATATAATTATAATATATAATTATAATTAAATAATTTTTGCTTCTTATAGTTTTGTAATTATATCTTATAATTTTATGATTTTTTTTATCTTTCTATTTTAGCTATATATAAATTTACCTTAAATTAATTATATTTAAAAAAAATATTATTTCATTTTTTTATTTTTTAAAAATATTTTTTCTATTCTTAATTTGTAATATATTTTTCGATGATCGATGTTGTTATGAAAAATAATAAAATTAATATGTTTGCTGATTGGATATGGATTTCACGTTATCGTTATCAAGAATCAACGCTGTAAAAATAAAGAGAAAAAGAATCGTTTAAAAGAATCTGAACACTTGTAATTGGAAGTTATACGATAGTGTGCTTGTTAGTAGAAGAATATTTATTCAGTAATTTTTTTTTTTTCTTGACATTAAATACTTGTACCCTTCTACATATTTGACTTGGTTTTAATTGATATCATATGACATGTTAAACATATGTATTTAATTTTATGTGAAATTTCATATCTTGTTATAATTAGAATTAATAATTTTATTACAAAAAAATTCTTTCAAAATTGTATAAAATTATTTATCAAGAAGATTAAGAGATACGTAATAGTTGAAATTAATTTCTTACGTATTCGAAATTATTAATAAATAATAATTATGTATTAAATTGTTCCAAAAGTTATTTTCATTATTTATATATACAGTTGCGATTTGAAAAATATAATCTTTTTTCATTAATATATGATATTGAATTTTCCTCTGTTTCCAAAATTTATTATATAATAATATTAGAGAATTAACAAATCACAAATTGATTAAATTATATATAATTATATCAGTTAATTCAATAATTTTTCATAAAAGAATGATTCTTTTAAACGATATTAAACCAATATGAATATCTTGTAAATAAGTCAGTCATTTTAGAATAGTGAAAGTTCCAAGGAGATGAAACACTAGACCACTCAGATATAAGATAAATAAAAATTTATAAATAATAAAATATTATATCGAAATATATGAATATGATTCTCCTTGATCACTATTCTAAAAAAAATAAAATCGAAAATATCATAATAAAAAAAAATATAAGATATTTATAAAATATTATAGCGAAAAAAATATAAAAATATCTCTCTCTATTAGTAAAAAAAACTTTTGGAACAATTTATATATAATTCGTTAATTTATCAGAAAATTTAAAAAGAATTTTCATTTTAAATATACGTATTTCAGCTTCGAAATGTGTATGCGTCTATGTGTTTATCATACATGACAGGCTCGTTAATTGCGAAAATATAAATGTCTGGTAGACGAGGAACAGCGCGAAAGAAAGGATAAAAGGAAATGATATCTAACTTTTTTCCCTGAGACATTTTGCCGTTGAGTAAAAGTTGCGGTACGAGCGGGACCGGAAACGCGTGCGTTTAACGTACTACAGCGATTAATCTTCACGTTTGTTGAAGCGGAGAGAGGCGATTAAACTGGCAGATAATCCTCTGTAATGGCTCCCTTTCCGTTCTAACGATGGGGTATGTGCTTTCTGCCGACGAGTTATTCCTTATCTTTAAAGTAATGTACACTTTTATCCTTCTATTTGATCTATTCTATCCTTCTATTTGAATTACTTAATATATATATTACGCGCAATTACTTGTAAAAAAAAAATCATTTCCCTTCATTTTCAATTTCTTAGGATTTTCAATTTTCTTGTTCACAATTTTCTTGTATTTGAATGTTAACAAATGCCGCGTAATTTTGGAAATGAAAGGTTTTGTAATAAATTCTACTGTCATTAATCTCTTGGATTTTTTTTTTTTTTTTATTTTTTTTAATTACGGAAATATTTCTTCCGTTATTATATTTGAATATCAAGGTGATCCGGTATTAAAATAATTAATAAATATTAATTTAATTTACCATATTTGAATGGATATTTTTGTAATAAATCTTGATTCAAAAAACTTTAATCTAAAGTAAATAAAAGAAAAATGTTAAAAAAAAGTGGAAAAATATGAATAATTATTTATAAAAAGATTTTAAATAATCTTCGATTTTTATAATAATTTTTAATATAATTTCATCATATTAAGTAATATTGTGAAGATTTTATTTGACAATCGTTGTTCATTAAGTAGTTATTAACAAAAACGTTTTTACGAAATAGTTTAAAATAGTTTTAATCAGGGTTATCGTATAATTACACAGATAATTAATGACTGATTGTTTTACGATGATCAAATTAAGAAAACTAATCCAATGTAAGCTATTAAGTTGGCTGACTTTGAATGAAATGAATTTTCATTTAATTTTGATATGATTGAAATTAATCTGATAAATTAATCGAATTGAAATTATCAAATTGAATGATGAAAAATTGATTTAATTTTTGTGATTGTATGGTTTACATTGGATTTGAATTAGATTAAATTAGATTAATAATTTTTTAATAATGATCTAATCTAATCTAATATAAACCAATTTAAAAAACTCAACTAAATTATTTTTATTAATTACTTTTTAATAAACAGTCATTGTCAAGTAAAATCACAATGCTATTCAATGCGATGACTTCGATATTAAAAAAATCATTGGGAGAAGGGTTTTTTTGTAAATATTTACCAAAACATGAAGCAAAAATGAAAAATTTGCAAATACAAGATTGAAAAAGCGATTATAAAAAAGATTTTTTTGCGTGTTAATACAGTGAAGTTCGTAACAACATACAGTGACTCATAACCGGACGAAATCGGTGCGAACGAAAGTGAAAAGTTTCGAGAGAGATAGTTTCGTAACGAAGAAAAACGTATTTTAAATTATGACTAATAGTAGTGAGGACTATCAATTGTACGGAGTTGATGCGATCGTTTTGCGAGCGTAATGTATTGGATCATAGATTTTATAACGGTATAGATATCTGTGATAGTAAATAATTATGATTGTAGAAAATGCAAAGACATGGGACGTGTACAATCGTAAAGTGACAAATCGAATAAGCGTATTTTGTGCTGAAAGTAATTTTACAAAATATTTTTTTTTCTTCTTTTGTCCATACAAATG